TACATGTTGAACTTTCAAAGTGGCTCAACTCAGACTCACACTGCCCAATTTTATTAGTTTGAAACCCATTTAAATCCATAAAACATGTTATAAATGAGTTTCATTTATAAATGGGTAAGCCCATCATTTTTAACTGCTTAATTGGATAATAAGAAATTTAATTCACATAAGCATGTTAGATGCACTTTTCTGTACAAGTAGTATTATTGGAAAAGTTAAAGGTCAAGAGAACTGTAAAGTTCATAGATAGGGTTGGCATTGTTTTCTATATTTTCAAATATAATGCAGAAAAACTGTCCCATAAATAGCTGGAAACACTGCTGGAAAACAGGCTTTTGGTGGCGTTTAAAAAACGCCGCTATATCTATTAAAAACGCCGCTAATTCCTTTTGTGGCGTTTAGTACCAAACGTCAAAGCTGCGGCCGTCGCTGTAGCTTTGCGACGTTTTAAAAACATCGTGATATTAGTATAGGAGGTGTTTTAAAAAACGCCGCCAAATGTCCCACTATACGCCCGCTGACGTCACCAACGATATTTAGCGACGTTTTTGAAACACCGTCGTATCTGTTTTAAAAATATGACCGTTACTTTGAGGGTTTAGGAGGCGTTTGTAGAAACGCCGTCATATCTCTTTTTTTCTTTTTCTTTTTTGAAATTGTGCTAATTTTATTTGATTAAATTAAAAAGAATACCTGTAATAAAACTAACATATAAAATATTAACTCCCATTCAAATACCTATAATAAAACTAACATAAAAAATAATAACTCCCATTCAAATAACAAATGAAGCATTAATTCAGTTTCTCTTTCAATTAATATCCAATCACCATTACCCACAAAATAACGTATCCAAAATCCAAAAATCATGTTTCAACATTAACCACAAACTAACATATGTCTAAAAATCATGTTTCAACATTAATCACAAACTAACATATATCCAAAAATCATGTTTCAACATTAACCACAAACTAACATATGTCTAAAAATCATGTTTCAACATTAATCACAAACTAACATATATCCAAAAATCATGTTTCAACATTAACCACAAACTAACATATGTCTAAAAATCATGTTTCAACATTAATCACAAACTAACATATATCCAAAAATCATGTTTCAACATTAACCACAAACTAACATATGTCTAAAAATCATGTTTCAACATTAATCACAAACTAACATATATCCAAAAATCATGTTTCAACATTAACCACAAACTAACATATGTCTAAAAATCATGTTTCAACATTAATCACAAACTAACATATATCCAAAAATCATGTTTCAACATTAACCACAAACTAACATATGTCTAAAAATCATGTTTCAACATTAATCACAAACTAACATATATCCAAAAATCATGTTTCAACATTAACCACAAACTAACATATGTCTAAAAATCATGTTTCAACATTAATCACAAACTAACATATATCCAAAAATCATGTTTCAACATTAACCACAAACTAACATATGTCTAAAAATCATGTTTCAACATTAATCACAAACTAACATATATCCAAAAATCATGTTTCAACATTAACCACAAACTAACATATGTCTAAAAATCATGTTTCAACATTAATCACAAACTAACATATATCCAAAAATCATGTTTCAACATTAACCACAAACTAACATATGTCTAAAAATCATGTTTCAACATTAATCACAAACTAACATATATCCAAAAATCATGTTTCAACATTAACCACAAACTAACATATGTCTAAAAATCATGTTTCAACATTAATCACAAACTAACATATATCCAAAAATCATGTTTCAACATTAACCACAAACTAACATATGTCTAAAAATCATGTTTCAACATTAATCACAAACTAACATATATCCAAAAATCATGTTTTAGCAAAGAAGCTGTAGTCATCACTGGTTTACATGCCTACATCAGAACATAAATTGCAATCAGGTTCACCAAAATAAACATAATTGAAGAATTTGTACCCAATACTTATAAACAATACTTAAAACTTGAAGAAGCACTAACAAGAAGATTTTATCACATACCAAGAAGCACGATAAAAAATCAATGCAATTTTGCAAAAGTAAGCCTAGCCATGTGCTCTGTTAACTCATTCATTTGAGTCTGCAAGTTTGAATTCAATAATTAGCCTCCAATATAAATATAAATCATATTAAAAGTCCAAAGATAAAGTAGTATCACATACCATAACCTCATTAACTGAATCACTATTTGACATCCCATCTTTCATGTATGCGGCCATCCACACCTGTGACCGACTAGCAGGAACCCCATTGTTCTTTTTGGTCTCCTATAAATGAAAGACAACCAAAATCTTAAGATAAATAAGAAAATTAAATAATTAAGCAATTAAATATGTGAACAAGTTAAGAGCTTTTAAATCATGGCAGTGAACGGTCAACTCTGAAATGCAGTGAAGATGGGAAATGCAGTGA